ACGAGAAACAATATACTACGATCTAAAAAGAAAACAAGAAAAAAAAAAACAGAAAAGATATTCAGTACTATAATGTAACGAATCTAAAAGAGAAAAAAAAATAGGAAAAAAAACAGAATAAGAGATTTTCGACAGAACGATACACACACACACACACGTACTACATGCAGAGACACGTATACATAGAGACACCGGTATAATGTAATTTAAAGGAAGAAAAAGAAAAAAAAAAACAACACGAAAAAAGTTAATGGGAATTATATGACGTATACTGACCAGACCAAGCTCAATATTTCTAGAGTCTTTACAAGATAAATAAATCTGTTAAGTGACAAATGACTATTAATTAAGTAAGGAGAGGAAAAAAATCTATTAAGAAAACTTGTACATACTAGCCTATAATTTATTTATCTATGAGTGTGAGGGAAATAATGCGCGAATGACGAGATAGCATATGGGAGAAAGAAGAGAGAGAGAAAAAAAACGAGGGAAGATTACAAATTAGTGTGCGTGATAGAGAGAGAAAGGGATAGTGAGAAAGAGAGAGAGTGAGAAAGAGGTACAAGATAGAAAGGGAAGGGAGAAAAAGAGAGGGAGCGAGTGCGAGCGAAAGAGAAGGAGAGAGAGAGAGAGAGAGGGAGTGAGAGAAAGAAAGAAACAAAGCGTGCGTAAGAGAGAAAAAGGTTACTGAAGGACTATTACGGTGAAAAGCATTTTAGATGCTGATATGTACCTACTACGCGAATGAGAAGAGTATACAATAAAGTAAACAAATGTTTTCAAATATTGCGTCTTTTTTGTGCCGCCCGCCATAATGATGATTTTGCAGATTACGTGCACGTCTCACCGTTTACAACGGTCAGTCGTCGAAGATATAAGAAACAAAGTTTTATTTTGACATTCTACAGAATACATATATGTATAGGTATGAATTATTATATAAGATGTCTCGAGATTTGAGTTACATAAAATGTTCTTTTTTTGATACAGAATATTACATATATTTTAAATATTTTTTAAGTTTTTAGTTTAAATAATTTTTTAGATATTTTTAAATTTGGATAGTTTATCTTGGACTAGAAATATAATCAATCAAGATTTACATGTCTATTTGTTATGTATGGTTACTTTTTTAACCTCTCATGATTTGAAGGTTATTATATTTGATTGAATAAATCTCATATTTCTATATGGTCAAGATAGCAAGACAATAAGACAATATTTTATATGAAAAAAATATAGAAATTGATAAAGGAATTAATATCGAGATTCTTTATAATTTCCATTGCCTAGAAACTAATTCATACAACTCGAGATATGCCAAAATATTGTAATTACGTACCTTACTTTAACATTTTGAATCAGTTGATTTATTCCAAACCTGTTGATATGTACTAGACGAGTGCAACTGTATGGTATTATCACGATTTTTCTTAACAATTTACACTTACAAAACACTATTTGCACTTTGATAGTTCGATTTATAATTTTGTATTTTCAAACAACGCACCGTAATATACGCGTTATTGTAGCATACTTTCATCACTGATTGAAACTTGAATAAAATATGACCGAAAAACACAAAAGACTATCGTTCTATACAGTTGTCTTCAGATTCATTACAAGTATAATAAATTTAAAACTTTTACAAGATATTTTAATTTATTGTTAAGCACTTTCAATAAAAAAAGGAGCTATTTTACTGCACGATTCAACGTTACTTTCAACAGACATTTTCGATGTTCAAATCGAGCGCACTCGAGAGTATCGATATATATCGAGGTCGACGTGCATCGTTCGACTCCGAAGTAACTACATAACCTTGCGATCATAATAATAACAAAAGCGTCGCGACTGAGTTTTGTTATCAAATATTGTGTGTGCTATAATCCCGCTCTAGAAAACGTGCCGTTTTGTTGTGATGTGGAAAACGTGATTTTATCTGCGATTCTCCAAGGATGGGCGACATAAGGGCCGGCCTCGAGGAATTAAAACTTGACGGGGCCCTATTCGCCGATGTTAAATACTACGTCAGCGGCGAAGGTGATCCCAAGGTATGTCATTTTACTGTTTCCCGCGTTTTTCCTTCACCCTTAACATAATGTCACTGATTTCATGATATCGATATTGTTACATCGTAACCATTATAGATTGCAATCTGCCCGCAATTGTTTTAAATTAATTGCAATTCACGCGAAAGAGGTTATAAAATGGAGTCAAATTTAACAGACTGTACCTCAATAGACGGAGATGACATGAGTTTTTATAAAGATGTTAATTATATGACATTTTTTAATATGCTATATATTTTTATACGAGATCAATTGAAATTTACCAATATTTTCAACCATAATTGATCAGTAGTACACAAAATTTTTCTATCAACAATTTGAAATTTAATGGCTTAAGATAAATAATAACCTTGAAAGATTAAAAAAAGAAAAGGGGATCAATTATTTAATATATC